TCTCTCTCTCGTTCACCGTGAAAACAGTAATCTCCGTCTCGAACAAACACTCGGAAGTCTCGTTGAAGAGCGCTCGTCGAACGAATGGCAATGCGCGCAGCGCGGTCCCACCCCTTTTTCTTCACACTTATATCTCCCCCTTTCTTTGGCGACTTAAGAATTCACCCCCTACACCGGCTTCCGCCCGGCTCTCACCTCCTCCTGTCTTTCCCGCGGATGCACTCGCGAGACGCTTCTGTTTACGCATTCCCCCTAACCGTTATTTGTCTCTGAAACTTTTTCATCTGCTCGGCGGACTCGACGGACTCGACGCGCTCGGATACGCTAAAGTTTCGGTTGTTTTAGCGCGCCGTCGGCCTATCGCTATAACCCGCCGGACTCTCGGGGCGCGGCGGCGGCGGCAGCGGCGGCCATTCGCGACGTCGGTGCTTTATTGCCATCCATTGAACTTCTTCTTCGGCGTACTTTTCCGGCGGAGCGCCGTCGTTAAGCGGCGCGCACCACCACGGTTGTAACTACGACGGCGAACGTTAAAAGAAACGACCTCGCCGATGTTTAACTTTAAACTCCGGCTATTATGCTAATTACCCCTTGGGCGATAGTAACGGGGGGGTACACCTGGTTGTATACCAGCATCGAGACACCTTTCGGCCCTTGCGTCAATCTTCCGTCGCTCTTCCATTCCTTGAGATACAGCAATTTTCGCGTGTTCGCTCGGCTGACTCGAATATGACAACCGCGAGTTTCTAAGATCGCATCAACTAAACCACGCGGCCGTGCGACCTGCGGGTGCATCTTCCCGAGGAGCCGGGAACGATGAAAATTGTAACCCACCGGGGTATTAACGGTAGCGCATCCGGAATCGGGGGGTGGTGCATCTTCTTAAATCTTCCTAACGTATAGCGACCGGTCTCGCGGAGAGAGAGAGAGAGAGAGGGAGAGAGAGGAGAGAGAGAGAGAGAGAGAGAGAATAACCGAGCCGGAGTCTCGGTTCACTCACGGGAGATCTAGGATCCGTTCTAGCGCATAATAAATACAAGCTCTTCCCCT